AATCTGAGTTCCAAACTGAAAAAGGAAGTTAGCAACTGAGAGCAGGTGGAGCAATGCAGCCACATGAAAGGACAAGGGCCACATAGAGGCTAGGGACAGACATTCAAAAAGCCTGAGCTTAAATTGATTCAATCTTTGAAGGTTAGTCTAACCTGGCAAGGCTAAACCAGTTTGTAACTGTCAGACATTCCCTCTCGATTGAAAAAACGCAGGCACACCGGCAGTGGTTCAGGCTAGAAGCCAGGGAGCAGAGAGAGGGGGTGCTAAAGCAGCCCTCCCTTCCCATTCACGGTGCTGAGCTGAGGAGGCTGTAAGCAGGCCCCAGCAGGACACTCTGATTAGGGAGGGGTTCCCCCCCCCCCCACCCAGCCCAGCAGGGAATTGATAACATAGTGTCTATCACCCCATTAAGAAAACAACAGAGGGACATTACCAGTTACTTGTGATTCTGCCTTTGTCCCGTCTGCCACAGCACAAACCATAGCCAGCATGTGGTCTGCTACCTAAGACCGAGTGTCTCTGTAAGGCAGAGGGGATGATGGAATCCCTACTAAGAGGGGAGCGGAGGGAGCAGAAGCCAGGCAGACGCCTGTAAAGACTTTCGAGCTGCAGCCAGGGAGCAGAGGGGAGGGGCCAACCTGCTGTGGAGCAGAGAACTCTGCCCAGCCCAGAGAGCATGCCCGGATACTGGGGGAGTCTGATTTAACTGCAGTCAGCAAGGGGTCTGGGACAGACATTGCATAAACCAGTTTGACTCAAATCAGTTAAGTCTGATACTACATTCAACCAGGTTTATCTCAAACTGTTTTCAGCCATTTTCAAACTGGTTTATGTGCACTGAACATCTGTTCTGGTACAAGTTTAAACCAGTTTCTGATCACTAAAACAGGTTTGTGTGTAATGTCTCTCCCTAGCCTAAGTGATCTCCCTGCAGAGTTATAACTTAAGTAAATGGTTAGTTAGTCATAGAGGTTTTTGCAACCTGTCCTTCTGATTTCATAGCAAAGCATTGGAGGGCATTCAGACAAAGGTTTGAATGGCACGTAGTAGCCACATGGGCAGGAGAGAAAAATGACAGTCAGATTATCTATCTTCTAGCATATGGTGAGGGAGGAAGCCCTAACTGCTTATAAACAATCTCTATATTTGAAGAAAATATGCAGTTATGTATAATACTGTCCAAATTCAAGGAATACTGACAAAAAAGAATGAGGCCTTTGAAAAACACAGACTATGTAAACAAACAACAGGAGAAAGTATAGATCAGCATATTATTGATCGAAAGAGACCGAGTACAAACTGTGCATTTGGGAAATAGACAGAATCTCTGATTAGAGATAAGATTATTTGTGACATTGAAGACAATGCATTACAAGAAAGGCTATTGCATGAAGCACACTTATCTCTAGAACAGGCTATCCAAATGTGCATGGCCACAGAAACTATGACAGGCCAGACAATGTACCAAAAAGGGTTGTCTATGCAGTAGGCAAGAAAGAATGTGGCCAGAAAAAGTCATCTCACAGCATGGGGTGGATTTTTTGCTGGTGAGAAGTCATCTCATGGGGGAATTTTCCACTGGCAAGGAAACTGCTAAGCAAGAGCATGCAAACAGCTGGTTGTGCAGAAATATGGAAGGCAACATGTCCCCAAATGCTGTGCTGCATTTGGAAAGCTTTGTTTTATCTGTAATACAACTGCAGTTTGTTGTTTAGTTCTTCTCATTCATTGTATGCATGTATTTGAGCTCAGTGATCACTACAGTGTTGGTAACCCAACATACAGGAATGATTATTAATTGCCAGTTTATTAACCATTGATCACACGCGCAGCTTTGTAGAAGGTCACAAACACACCTACCTCAGCCTCTGCTTCAAGGAACGTCCATTAAACTAGATTAAATTTGAACTATATATTTTATACGTACAAGTATATAGAAATGTAATGTGATTTCTATCCTGACAAAATGTCCCTTTAAAAATACCACACCCATTGCATTTCTTTCTTGGCTACAGGCTGACATTCCTTTCATTTTTCTGATTTATCTGGGTTTGCAGCATTCACAGTTACTCTTTCTGGTGTGGTTTGAGTTCACACTTGAGATCAGGTTGCCTGTATAACTGACAGATTGAGGTGGCAAAACCTCCAACGTTGAGGGACTTCAAAAACAATTCACCTCCACTAGCAATGAAAATCCTGGACTTCTGATATGCCTGTGAACAAAGAAAGAATCAGAATCCGGTTTGGCAGGAGTGTGTCCGAGTTTCCCATTGCAGACAAAGCTGAACAAGGAATTGAGTGTCTTTTTTTTCCCCCAAACAATTTCCCTTTGCTTTGCAATAGGCCTTTTTTAAAAGTTCTTCCAGATTCTTCTGTAGTTCCTGCTCAGTCAATAAATCTGTGCAAAGGAAAACATATGTGCTTAGCATGACCCCATTTGCCAGCAGGCACACAACCAGCTTGGCACATGCTGGGGAGACCACCAACAGCAACAGCACTTCATTACAAGGCAGCACGCTCAGTCAGTGCCAGTTGGGAAGCGAGGCAGAGAAGGTGGCGGAAGGAGCTAGCACAAAAAAAATCAGTCCCGAATGGTCAGGAAAGGCCAATCTTGCCATTTACAGTGCACAAAGCCACTGCACAACCCCCACCTGCTTCTCCACAATGCAAGGCCTCCTTCGCTGGTCCTACTATTTGAGGGGAGATGAAAAAGGACAGAACTTGTCTCCAGAGGCTTCTTCCCCTCTACTAGTTGAGACCAGAGGCAGCACTTGATGTAAAGCATAGATTGATTATGGAGCCCCTAGAACAGGATGCGTGCCAGAACATGGCATGTGAAGGCATTTTGCTTGGCATGTCCACCTCAGGGCAGATGGCAGGGAAGGGGCCATGGCTGCACTGCCACAACAAGGATTGGGCCCCTTGAGGCTCCCCCGCCATCCACCTCTGGCTCACCAGTATCTTACAGGTTGAGGTTGCGGGTGTTTTTAGCACTCTGCCCAAAAACATTGCCCACCCGTGCCCTAGAATAAGGACCAAATGGTAGCTTGCTTAGTATCAAGAACCTGGGTCTATAATTTGGATGTGTAATAAAAACTGATAGTTGCCTTAGAATTTTCCTCTAATACAATGGCAGATGATCTGTGAATTATCACCACCACCACCACCACTAAGAGAGCATACGTAATCACTTCAAGCAAAGATCCATAAGGAAGCCATAGTCCCATGTAGGAAGTGAAAGACTGCCTTTCTTCCCCTGCAAACCTGCCTGAGGAAACCATTCCAAAAACTTTTCTGTCCCCCATTTTGCCAGACTTGGGTTCCAAAACTACCTTTCTGGAGATTAAATTAAATTCCTAGAAGGTGGCACTCAGCTGACCTATAATGTCCCATTATATAAGATCTTAGGAGGCTTCTCCACAGAAGAGGTTTTCCTTGAAAGACCAAGTAGCAGCTTCAGTAAATGGTGGGATTTTCTCATCATTAAGTTAATGTGGAACAATGCCCCAGATTTCAGCTACGTGAGAGATAACAGGCACAGGGTGTTTTCAAGCAAGATAAATTCAGTCAAGTGCAGATGCAGGTTTTGTTATACCTTTTATGGAACAGATGGTACAGACCACACTGCACCCTCCAGGCACACTCCAGGGAGTCCCATGCAGTATGCGTTTCACTGCTCAGATCTCAGACTGCTGGTGTCATCATTTCATTCAGGGATTTCTGTCAAAAGTCTCTACACTCATATCTGTTTTATATAATATACACACACACATTAAATCCTAAAGAATAAACAGTGGGTGGCTGGTATACAAGACAGAGCCCTCTCAAGCACTTCCAGGTCCCTGATTTACACTGGCACATTTACAGACCAAACCTTTCTAACCCAATTAAAATCTCATTTGAGCTGTCAATACAAATGTAGCCTGTTTTAGTTTAGTGTTCCTGAGAACATGCAGTAGCCTGGAACTGTGGACAAACTAGATCTTCTGGACAAATCTACTAGCCTACTTTCTATCCCAAACTACTCACACATACATCACTTACAATTCTCCCTCCTCCCACATTTAGAAACTCTTGCAATTGCCCTCAATTGTACCTGAGCATCCTACAAACTAAGAGGCACATCATTATCCTTCTGCAAGAGAGACCTTTTCTCCCCCAACTGAATTATTGATATTATTATAGCTATAATAATATAAAAAAATACATGTACATAAATTAGTTTCATGTTTGTTTCCAAATATCAGTCTGTTTCAGGTTCTGTGTATATGCAACATTGGTAAATATATGCAATTCATAAAGCAACATTAAAACAATAAAATAATGATGACACCCCAAATCCCACCACAAAACTCTCAACCTCTTCCTAGAAATAGATCCCACCCCCTTCCAAGAAAAGCTTAGCAGAACATAATCATAGGCCCTGCACTGTCACTTGAAGGGCAGCAGATTCAAGTTCTGGCAAGCCAAAGGAAGGAACTGTCACCTTAGCTGGGAACTCTCATCAGGAAATCGAATTTTAGTCCTTCATCTGGCCTCATCCCTCACAATTTGACATTTGGGAAGACATGGGTTCCATGACAGCCAGGTTGCAACCCATTAAAGCTTTGAAGGTGCAAACCAACATCTTGAATAGCATCTAGTAAGGAACAGTAATCCCGTGTAGCAGAGAGCCCTGGTATAACACAGTATCCACATGGTAACACTGGTTAGCAAACTGCCTTCCATATTCCATATCATCCAGAGGCTCCAATAGGACTTAATGTAGCCTCATACAGCCGCAGTGAAGTCTCAAGGTGACAAATACATGGATCGGTGTGGTGAAATATTCATCCAAACACTGCCCTCCCAGTAACCTCTTCTAGAAATGGCCTAAAAGACTCATTTGAAGCCCTTCAGAAGTCTCAAGTAAGTCAACAAACCTTTACTGTGCAGATGAATCTACCCACCCTCTATAAAACAAACAAAAGGGAAGAAAGAGGGGCAAATAAACCACTCACCACAAGCTCGGCAAACCTAGCATTGAGCTCCTCTGCTGATGGGATTGGAACAGAGAACTCCAGAAACTGGAGGGGGTTATTGTCCTTGAGGTTGATTTCAGGGAGGTCGCTGCCTCCAAAGCAACAAAGAAATCCCAGAGCATGACGATTCCTTTTCCGAGGAGCCATGGTCATGTTGTGGGATGCTATCTACTGATCATGATCTGCAGAGAGAAGAGGAAGAAAAGCTGTTAAATGGAAAAGAAACTGTACCAAAGAAAGTATTTGTTGTTATCGTTTGTGTATAGGGTAGACAACAAAAATATCTCTCACAAGCCAAGGAGTAAAATAAAAAAAAAGTGAGCCACCTGGCTGGAGAGGTGGATCAAACTTAGATCATGTCGTCATCATCATCTTGCATTGCCCAATAGTGTCTCTCACCCCAGAGTTTCTACAAATGTTTCATAAACCTTGGGTGGAATTTTTAGAAATGCCTAGCATTGTCTTAAGGTCTGCTCCCACTGAAGTCAATGACAGTTTTAATATCTACGGGAATGGAAAATAGGTTAAACCAGTGATGAGTCCTTTGGACAACCACTTTCCCCCACTCCAATCAAATAGGCACACACAGCTACCCCCTCACTCACACCTAAAAGATAGCCACCTACCTTACAGCACCCAAGGGCATGCAGATATCCCAGTATGAACAGACATAAGTAAAGCACAGTACAATGCAATGGAGTAGGACAGGCACATAAAGCATTCAGCTGAAATTACAGGTTTGCAAACCATTAACAGATAGGGTGACCATTCGTCCGATTTTATAGAGGTCAGCCCAGTTTTCTGGTCCTCTGTTTATATGAAACTGGACACATTTATGTCTTCTATTTTTTGCCACTCGGCACCCCCCCCCCACCACCAACACCACTGCGGCTGCCTGCAGGAGCTCCCCGCTTAGCCCGCCCCTGCTGCTAACACTGCTGTGGCTGCCTGTGGGAGCTCTCTGCTTGGCCCACCACCAACACCACCACGGCTGCCTGTGGGAGCTCTCCACTTGACAGCACCATGCCCCCATTGCCGACATCACCACTACCACCTGCGGGAACTTGCCGTGTCCCCCAGCCTTGGGAGGCACACAATGTTCATGGTGGTGGGGACAGTTGCACTAAATGCAACTGTCCTCTATTCTTGAGGTACCTTGATGGCCACCCTAGTAATAGACAAGAAGGTGGATTCCATTCACTTTGATTAATAAAAACACTTCTGGAAGCCTTAAACATCCTGAAAAGACTGGGCAGTAGGTCTCCAGGGGAATCACTGTTTGAAGACAGCTACTTGTATCACTTGTGACTAAAGAAAGCTGGATGGAAGTAGAGTGACCACCCCTCCCTAACTGGGCAGGTCTGTCCCAGAATGGGAACATCAAGTCCTGGTCCCAGGCTGCATGACTTGAGGACAGCATTTTTCTCAGATTCCCAGTATTGTGCAGGGATCTGGGTTTTCCATTCACCACGGAAACACAGGAAACAGTGGGGTTCCCCTTGCAGGCTGACAGCGTTCCAGTCTGGAAGGGGCTGTTTGGGGAGGCAGGGTGAGCCACATGCATGTGCATGCCTGCACATATGCACATGGCCAGCAAGACAGCCAGGCAGAGAGGAGAGCAGCTCCCTGCAGGTGAGTCGAGGGGGG